AGATGTTCACTGCTACAATGAGCCGTGCATGACAATAATTAAATAGTGACACTGAGGACGGATGGTTGATGTGCAGGAGGATAAGGAAAGTCTTATATGCCTCCTCTCTATACATTTATATCTTATAATAAAAAGGAGAAACCAACACACTGCAGCACTTCCTCCTCCTGTGTACTCTCTCCTCTTCTTTCCAAAAGCTGCAATAAAAAAAAACAAATCCTGTTGGTTCAGTTAGACAAATACGACCCAGGAGGGAGCTCAGGGGGGCTTCGTTGGAATAAATCAGTGTTTTATGATGCACTTAACATGCCTTCAAGTGATCATTCTGAGCCCAGTGTTTGTGCTTTGTGCAGCCTCTAACTTCATGTACCTGAACGCCGTCCCGACCGAGACGCTGACGGGCCCGTGTGCGGTCCAGAGGGCCGTGACCTCCACGCTGCAGCAGGCCTCCACCTCGCCCACCATCGTCAACATGAAGGTGTCTCTGAAGGGCGTCACGCTCACAGATATCAAGAGAAAGTAAGAGAAGTCACAGCTTGTCACCGGCTTTCTGCTGAGGTTTTCCGTACAGTGCACGACCTGCTGGAGCCGATCTGTGGTTTCACTGCAGCTCTTTTTTTAAAAAAATTTCTTCACAGGCTCTTTTTCAGACGCCATTATCCTGCTCACCTGCTCAGCTTCGCCGGCGAGGACCCGGATAAGAGACTGTGAGTGCAGAAGTGAATCATCTGTGTTGGAAATGTACTGGGTTTACTGCGGTTATGTTCTCTGTGACGAAAGAGCTCATAAATTAGGTCAGCTTTGGTGAGAACAGGTCTAACCACACTGTAAGAAAAAAACTATATCTGCAAAATGTGGTGAAAATCAGGCAGCAAGGAGGAAGAAAAGTTAGAAAAAAACCCACCAATAGAACACAGTGACGTTGAAAAACTATAAAAATGTTGAAAATAACAGCAAATATGTGTCAAATAAATAAATTCATTAATTTTAGCTGACGTACAAAATACAGTTAAAAAAATGTGAAAGAACGAATGACTATAAAAATAATGTTTTTTATTGTTGTGGACTTTATTTACATTTTTTTATACAGTCAACATGTAAATTGAAGATTTATTTTCTGATAGATATTATCTGTAATTTTGTAAAATAAAACTAAATTGTTTAAAAGTTAATCCCACTGAAAACAATTATGTTTCTACAGTCGACATTATTTAGAATTTTTGCTTGATTTTTTAGGGTTAACACAAAAAAAATTATAGTTTTTCTAAAAGATTTACTGGATATTATCTGAAGCTATTAAAAATCCCAAATATACTTAAAACAACAACAACAAAACTTTTTTTCAATGGTTTTTGTCTGAAAAATGTGTAGTTTTGCAGATTGTAATTTGTTATTTCACATCATCGGCCATAAAATTGCAGAATTTATTTGTTTTTACTGTAAAATAAGCAAAAATATAATATTTCTAATTTTCTTTAAAAATGTACACATATTTTCCATCATTTGAGGTTTAAAAAAAGCATATTAAGGCTTAAAAAATGGCAAATAATTCTTTAAAATATCTTCATCATTTTGTTAAATTACAGATGGCATCTAGTAAAGGGAAAATTAAATAATTTAAGTGTTTATTTTTATTAAAATCAGCTAATAATAGTTTTCAGATAATTGCCATTATTTTTCTTTTTTTCTTCTACAGCTTTTGAATGTTTATTAACACTTCTTTTTATGGGCTATCTTTTTAAAAAATGTTTGAATAATTTTTTTTACGCTGTCCTGCTTGTTTCTTGTGTTGTTTGTGTCAGCAGGGATCATTATCTAATGTCTTTATTTCTCTCACAGGTGGATGAAAGGTTCAAGCTTCGCTGCGAGGTACGCTGCACTTCATTTAAACCCTAATTTTACCCCCTAAAAAAAAACTTCTTATTGAGCTACTGTTGCACAAAATCAACCAAATCTTTTGTCCCAACAGGATGTTCGGCTTCGTGGCGAAAGGCGTGGAGGCCGGCATGGAGAACGTTTGCCACGTCTTCGCAGAGTACGACCCCCTGCAGCCCAGCAGCCAAGTCTGCGACGTTATTCAGGCCGCCGTCGCCAAACCGTAGATGAACTCTCAGTAAAATGCCCGACACGGGTTACTGTGTCGGCAGGAACCCACAAACCCTGACGCACAGCTGCCAGACCTGCACTGTGGTCAGATGTCGAACATGTGAAGACACACAGAACTGAGCAGCTGTCAAAGGAGAGCAAACCACCAAACATGTGCTTCGACTTTGTTCTCAGTTCACGACACTCATCTGACTGATTAAAACTTTTGCACACAAAACATATGAAGAAGTTAGAAAAGATAAAAGTCGACCGACCCGACGACAGCAGCCGAGACATCATTCAGAGCACTTTGTCCTCCATCGGTTAATTAACGGGAGCAGATGGATTCAGAAGCAGTTCAGGCTGAGCTCCACCTCGACTCCACATCGACACATCCAGCGGTTGTGTTTCTGCTCTCGCTTCAGAAACGGACATAAAACTTCATCCACTACTGAAAACAACATGTAACCGGCTTGTAAAAATGCTGCACCGCTACCATATATATATGAAAAGCACTTGTTCATGTAAAATGTTGGTGATTAAACTGTTAGCACCTTACGTTTAGTTTAAGGCACTGGAGAGCGCTCGACTCGTTTTATATCTTCACGCACGGCGACTCCCACATGTGTGTGCAAACCGACGTTCTGAAACACATTTATGAGGGAATCTTGAAGAAAAACACCTGAAACGTCGACTCGTCCGTTCATTTCAAAGCAGAAATCTGAATGTATTTATATCACTGGACTGCTCCTCTGTATGTTCAACTTGTATGTTTATGATGAGAAATAAAGATGTTGACCTGCTGAACCCGTTGTTTGCGTCTACGAGAGAGAGGCACGGCGTGAAGGTGTGAAAAGCAGTTTTATATTCGGCTGCGACATCAAAGCCGAGCTGGCAAACGAGAGGAAGACACCGCGGTTGGTTGGTTGCGTGTCTGAGAGGAAATCTGAATTAGTTTACCGGGTAAACATGTGACAGAAAACACAAGCAGGCCGCGTGTGGTTGGTATCCTTTTTTTTATTTTTATTTTAAATGATAAATCTTTAGATAAACGCTTCATTCTGAAGGTACAGAGCTCTCAAAGTGAAGAATGTGCTTCCTGAAGCAAAGCAAAAACCAAAGCACAGAACTGCATAGATAACATATTTAAATATTCTGAGGGACCCAAATGCAACGCTCAGCGGTCCGTTCCTCAATTCTTTGGTGCCAACTCAAAAACTCAGCGTAAAAACTGTCAGGCTGAGGCGTAACAGGTGGAGTCCGTTACACAACCCGAGTGGAGAAACACTGCAGTGTCGAACTATTTACAAATGCTGCCCTCCTCTGGTCCGGACGGGGAATCGGGAGTTCTCTGAGACACACGGTGAGAGCTGGAAGCCTCACTGCTGTTACTGGGATCACAGTGAGCATCGTACAGCGGAGCCTACGCTAGTGGATTATAGGTTCGTCTTCTCCGCGGAGAGAGTTAAATGCAGAGCCGCTAAGGAGCTCTGGACGTCTGTCAGATGTTCTTCTAAGTGTTGAATGAATCTGCAGTGCAAAGCGTTCAGTTCAGGGACTGTAGGAAAATTACCGGCATGGTAAAGACAGGGGGGGGCATTTAAAGCCTCCCCAGAATACTTCATGTAATACAGCCAAAAGTGCACAAATAATAACTTCAAGGTCCCGTGTTCTGCTTTTTGGGTTCCTTCTTTCCTTCAGTTTCAAACAGCTGCTTTTTTTTCTTTTTGTGCATGTTAATTATCTGCAAACTCACGAAGTGAACCGTCTGAAACTCCTCATCTTCTTTTTTAATCTACATTATTTTGCAACACAACTCCTGCTAGTTTGGCTCAATCAAAGAAGAGCTGCTTCCTCACATTGTTTCCTCACTAGAGCTGCTTCTCTCTGTTTTTATTAACCAATCAGAGCAGACCGTGCTGCTCAGGAGGCGGGGCTTAAAGACACAGGAGCTGCAGCATTATGAAAAAAAAAATAATTAAGGCAAGTAAACGTATTCTAGCAGAGCCCCAAAAATAAAAACGATAAATGTGCAGAAAATTAGCTCTTTAAAGTGGAAATCTCTTTGGCGCCACCTATGGCAACACACGGTAACTGCAAGTGTGTTTTTGAATCTCGCTTTCAAAAAAAAAACAAAAACACAAGCTTCAAATCGCATAACTTCTCATTTTTCTTATGTTCAATACAGCTGCCTGCACTGTTTCATGCAGTTTGTCTATAACCGGGACAAACTATTCAGTCATAATAACCTAAAACCACGTTAAACCCTCCGTCTACGAGCCATAAAAAGGATGCTGCCTGGCAAACTGCAAAGTCCACCTGGATGTAGTACAACATCTAAGTGTTTCTGACGTATTGGAACATAACATATGTTTTTCTGCGGGTATCAGAACTCGTGTGACGCCTTCATTCAAGTGGCAGTTTTCTGTAACAAGAAAAACAAACAGGTGAGCTGGAGGTCGTGAGTCCAACAAAGTGTTTCTTTTCTAAAATGCCAGATTTTTCTTTGAAGACACCAAACGACTTTCTTTAACCGGAGATGCGTTGGATGCAGAACATCTGCAGGACTCAGTGCGAGTCTCAGCAGATCTTTGCGGAACGAACCTCCAACGACACCGCCTGGTGCAGATGCTGATACTCAGAGAGCAGCAGTTCTTCTACATCGATGTTTCAGCTTTTGTATAAACAGAACGTGATGGTTGGTTCAAGCAGTCTTTGGCCTGTTTGTCATTCTGCTACAGGAGGGGAAACAAGCTCTGGCTGGTTGGTTTTTCTGTAAACCAACCCCAGTCGTAGTGAGTGGAGCTCAGCCCGGGATGCAGCAACGGTGCCCCATCGAAATAACAACGGGGGAGGGGATTGTTTTGGTGCATCATTTGCACGCAGGGAGGCAAGAACTGTCTTTAAAATAGATCATTTAAAAATAATAATTATCAGGCCGGTCTTCATGCACAATCCAAACCTTCTGCAAAACGGCCAGATAACGGCCAGATTATCCCCGCCGTCTACATCCGGTGAGCCAGGCTGAGTAAACAACAACAGCCAAGAGCGCATTTTACACAAACTTGAACATATTTCAGCTCAAGAGTAAAACAGCAGCAAATGTGTTCAACTTTGGGTCAAATGCTGCGTTCGTCACTTTTAAACGAGTTAAAACCAACCAACTGCCACAACCTACTTGACAGTTTTCAACTCTCGACAACCGGAAAAAACATCTAACATGCAGAAAGCAGCGTGGGAATAAAAACATTCAGTGCCTTGTCACTCTGCTGCTGGTATTGAAAACAGCTCAATAAACACATTGGAGGACACAAAAGATAAACCTGTCGACTGTCTCTGGCGGGAAAAAGTGAATTTGAATGTCGCCGCAGATTCTCGGTTAGAAATACTGTGAATGTAAGAATATTTAGGAGGTTTAATTAGACTTGATAGATGGAGCGTTAACAGACACTTATTTAAATAAAAAATCCTCAAGACTGTCGTGTTAAACTTTAAAATCAGACCTTCAAATCAAACCTTGTTAGCTCTGCTTTCTGTTGAGACGTGTCAAAAGTAAATCCTAATAATTTTCATACAGTCCCTTGAAGGAAATCTACCAAAAAAAAAAAAAATAAAATCCACCCTTCAATATTTCACAGCAGCTTTTAGAGCTAAACTTCTGCCTTCATCTCCTTCATCACCTGCATCAACCAGGATTAAATGCTGCACTTAAGCAGAGTCACTACTGATAATATTAATAATAATCTCTCGAGGGTGTTAAGAGACTTTTTTTCTTCATCTAGAGTGACGACGCAGAAACACACAATAAATTATTATCCTCTGTGATGCCACCTCTTTCTCTCTCTCCTGAAGCTGTGATGCAAAGTTCGGTGAAACTAGAGGATCTTAACATGAGCAGGTGTCGTTTCTGCGTCTTCTTCTTCTTCTGCGAGCCCCGCTTTGGACTCTCCGAGTTTATGGCGTGATGGTCGGGATACTGCGGGACCTCTTCATGATGAGACGCACCTCCACGTCGGGGAGGCTGTCCTGCTTGGTCTGGGCGCAGCCTTCGTCCGCCGCCGCCATGTGCAGGTCGAAACGCAGCGACACCGACTTCTTCCTCAGCTTGGGGTTCCCCCTGAAGAAGGAGCCCTCCCACTGCTTGATCACCTTGTCGATCTTCTCCGTCCTGGTGAGAGAGGTCAGACGGCGAGGCGGTACAGAGGCGTTACTTCATGCACAGAATATTTAGAAAAACTGGTTCTGTTTGTTCGTACATGCACGTCTCACTGATGTCATGTTTAATTTGTCTGGTTGGTGAATTCATAGAGACTCCAGGGGGCAGCAGGAGAGAACATTTAGACACTTTAACTGCCGCAGATTCTAACATGTGATACGATACAACCAGTCTGACAGTAAAGAGACTCAGTGAGGTTGTGGATCTGAGGGATGAGCCGCATTCAGAGAGAAAAACCAGGACCCTGCCTCTGCATAAGAGGCAAAACTGTATTTTTAACTGTGTCACTGCATCAACAAGGGAATTCTGCAGAGTCCAGAAAGAGAGTCACAAACCTGCACGAGATGCAAAATACATCACGTGAGATTGTTTGAATCTTCAACCCTCTGAACCCCAGAACCTCCACTGGGTTTAGAAGGTATTTTTAAACCATTTGTCAGAGTCAGAAATTGTAAAAACAGAAAAAATTCTCAACAGTCCTTGAACTAATCACGTCTGTCATGGAGGTAAATCAGAAGAAATGAACCAGATCTGAGTTTAAAGTCGTGATATTTAAGCAGAATCGCTTCAGTCTCGATGTCTGATCTAAATATTGGCCAAAAAATATAGAATAGTCAGGAGACAGATTCTGTAAAAAACAAAAAAATCTGCACTCTTTGGCACAACTGTGAAGCCATTTGCAACTCAGTCATGTGATAAAATTTCTGGGAATGATTGGTTGAACTGCAGACTATGGGGGCATTGTTGCAGCAAAACTATTTGTCCATGCGTATGGAGATGTTGTCTGTCTGTATCTCAATCTGTGTGTCTGAAGTGAGATTTGTCAACGTGTAAAAAAAGTTGTCAGTGCGAACTGGAATTTGTCTGTAATTAGGTATTCAAATGTGTAAAAAAGCTGAAGAAGTTGAAGTTGAAAAACCGACGTATTCGAACACAAATGCTGAAAATTCAGACAAATCACCAGTTACGAGTCGAGCGGCTTCACCATTGGATGTCTTTGTACACTTGACTTTTGCTTCGCTTCTGTCGTGACAGAATCTGAAACTTAAGAGTATCTGAAAATCAGGGTTTTTGCGTCCTGAGCTCAGGCTCACAGGATCGTCCACTGTGGCTACCGCTGCTCTGCTGCTCTGTTCCTCAGTCGTTATCAGGCAGCGCCGTGCATCAGAGTCTTAAAAAGCAAATTAAAAATATAAAAAGTTAAATATTTATAACGTGGAGCTACCTGTTCTAACACCTTGAAAAGTGTCGATGATTCCAGGTCTTTTCCAGTCACTGCTTAATAAATATCTAAAGAAATCCAACTTGTTTCTAGAAGGAGTTCTTTCTCCTGGTTGTTCTGTTTCCATAGAGGACTTTATGTTGGAGTAAAAGATGAGCCCACAGTGAGGAAACATGTGACAAAAAACATCCAGAAGCTGCTTGGACTTCAGAGGGTTAAAGGAATAATGAGTGATTTTTATTTTTTTTAGCGGCCTGACAGCAGTGGAAAAAGCTTCAGGCCGAGCCACGAGGCCAACAGATCATATCGAGACCTCTCGGAGCAGAATCAAGATCTGGATCACAGTTCTCCCCACAGATTTCTTTAGGATTCGTTTAGGCTCCAGGTAGAGTGAACTCAGTGAAATGTTCTAACAGGCTGCGTACGACGGAGCATCAGCCAGGTGACGATTCAGGCTCATCGCTAGTCGTCAGTTCACTCACTACTGTAATGAGAAGTGCAGCTGTGACGAGCCCACACTCATTCTGGGCCGCTGTACTACCGCAGCTCGGCCCGTGAGGGTTTTCTAACGGTTTGGGGAACGTTCAGCTGGCCAACGGCGGGCTGATCGATAACCGCAGACAGATGGCCTCCCTCGCTGGACCGTCTCCAGCCAGACAATGCTTTCTGACAGGGACACGATCATCCAGGAAAGATTCAGGGACCGTTTTGGGGAAATCATTTCAGCGGCCTGGCGAACAGAGTCGCTTGATATCAATGAAGCATCAGTCAAGTGACACAGAGACTTACGGTAAAGCCAGAAAACCTGCTGCTTCTCATCTGGTCTTAGCTCAGATGTGACGAGTGATTTCTCTGAGATGGAACAACCTGCTGGTCCAAAACTGCAGATTCTGAATCAGTGACGTGATGAGAAAATACAATAAAAAATCCAGACTTTTATCTTTAACAGTTCCTGAAATATTGTCTTTCAAACTTCAGTCTGCGACGAAATGTGGGTCGATAGGCAACTTTTAAAAAAATACAAAATTATCTGGTAAAGTCTTCGATATATGAAGCTAAAATTTAACAAATACTTTTATAAATGTCTATATTTTATGCTATAAATATTTGGTCAAATAAGAGATTGTTGAAAATTTTAAATGTTTAAGATAAAATAATACATTTGTCCAACATTACAGATTCAGAATCAACGACATGAAGAGAAATTAGAGTGAAAATTTCAGGCTTTTATCTTTAATAGCTCCTGAGATGTTGTCGTTGAAACTTCAAAAAAATGTGCAGAAAGTGGGTTGACAGACAATTTAAAAAATAAATGTTGTACCTGAGAAAGTATTTAATATATGAAGTTAAAAAGCAACAAATATCTTTATAAATATTCATATTTTAAGCTCTAAAAAATTCAGGCAAATAGTTTTGATTTGAGATAAAATAATGAATGTGTCCAATATTATAGATTCTGAATCAACGACATGAAGAGAAATTAGAGTGAGTTTTATCTGTAATAGTTGCTGAGATACTGTCGTGTGAACAAATGTGCTTGACATGGGTTAATTGGTACTTTAAAAAATAATAAAATCCTGGAAAATATTTGATATAAGACGCTAAAATTTTACAAATATGTTCATAAATTTCCTTATTTTATGCCTAAAAAGCAGAAATTGCTCTAAAAATGTGACGCTGCTCTTTTATAAACATTAAAACTAATTCTAGTTAAACCCTCAAAACAAAAAGAGGACAAAGGAAGATTAATTAAAAAGCAGCTGGAGCCAAAAACAACGCCTCATGTGAACCAGTGTAATTATCCTTTTATGTAAGATAAGACGCTCTGAGCCTTTATTGATGCCACAGCGGGGGAATCTGCATTGTTATAATTAAGGACTATGAACAAAAAATAAAAAATAAACTAATTCTGGAAGCACCAGTGAAGCAAAGTTTATGAATGAACCCTAAATGAAACGGTGAGGACGCAGCAGTGCGCTGACTCGCTCTGGACATTATGCAAGAAGAGAACTTGTGCGTCTGTGTTGCTTCGCAGATGTGCGTCTGCGGCTGGCAACACCTGAAGCACGAACAAAGAATTCCGCCCATGTCTGGTCCAACAATAACAGGTGCCACGCCCTGCAGCCTGCACACCAGGCGGCGAGCTCCACATCAAACACGGCCCATTAAAGGAGGAAAATTCCCATGCAGCGTTACTCATGGGAACCTGCGAGGAAAACGCACTCCCCGTAAAGGTGAAGGTAATTCCTCCTCAGAGCAGTTTTGCGCGGACCAGACGTCGCCTGGGAGGGCAGGACGGGTGATTCTCACATTGTGGGCTAATGAGTCAATGAAAACAGAGTCTGAGAGGTGCAGCTGAAGGGTGACGAGGCTGTGGGAGGTTGAGCAAGCGTGTTATTTTGTAGTCACGACGTGTATTTATGTGGCGGATGTTCTAAAGGGATGCAATTAGCGCTTGCTACTGTAAAGTGCCGACATCTGAAAGCCAGGGCCGAGGTGCTGACTGCAGGTCACGGCGATCGATACTCACTCGATGGTGCCGTGACCCTCGGCGCTCTCTCGCACCACGTTGCCCTGAAGAATCTCCTGAGTCTTCACGGTGGCGATGGGCAGCTCTTTATCCTGCTCCGGCTCTGTGGGAAGACACTCGTGACAAACACGGTGGACGGTCATGGAGGCGGCGAGGCGGTGCGTGCATGCGAGCGTTACCTGTGAGTATCACCAGGCTCTGCTGCCGGTACAGGAGGCTTTTCTGGAGGCCGTTCTCCACGGGCAGCAGCGGAGGGATTTCGGGCAGCGGCTCCGACTTGGGTTCATCCGGAGTGATGGCCGGGTCGCTGAAGCCGTTCTCCAGCCCGTTCTCCTTCGGTTCCACCACCGAGGACCTCCAGGGCCGCAGGCTCAGCGGTTGCCCGTTGCGACCCATGTACCTGCAGAGCATCGAACAGAATGAACTGCTGTCTGTCGACCTTCTACTGAACACAGAAAACACCCAAAGCTCTGGTGAATGTTCCTGAAATGCTCCGACTTAGAGACTGAACCGTGGCACTAACTGTTCCTAAGCTGTGTCCAGGAGAGTGGACGGATATAGCACAAGATATCTGCAGAATCCTGAACATCCCGTTCTGTTTGCAGAGCACCTCCAACAGTAACTCCATCAATTAAAGTTAGCCTCTGATCCACCAACATGGAGCCCTAATCTGCCAGATGATCCACACTTCAAGTAGATTAATGTTATTAAAATCAATCCAGTGCACAGGAGATGCTTGAAAATGGAATAATTCTGCAATGCATTAATAAAAAAATGCATTTCTACCTTCAAGCTAATATTACACAGATGGCCACAACAGCACCAATAGGTCAGGTGTGTCAGGAGCTCCATGTATTATAGAGATCAGCTGCAGTACCTGGTCGTCCCACCAGGTGGAGCCTCTTACTGTTTAATACTGCAGAGAACAGAGGAGGCGTTGTGGGGGTTTAGCTAGCAATGAGCACCCTGACAAAGACTTCTGTGATGCTCAATAACCTCCGACTTGATTCGTGTGTAGAAGAGAGTCCAGAATTGTCGAGGGCAGCGTCATACACAACACACCCGACAGTGTGGTCCAAATCATGTGTTCACTGAATACAACACCAATATCGTCTCACTGTTTATCACCGTAGCAACCAGAGGAGGTAGAGGAGGCAGCAAAATTTATATAAAATGCTTTTGTGAGAATGTTGGCTAGTTGTCCTCGTAGATTAAACATAGCGACTGGACTTGTTTGAGTTCCTTGAAGACGTTCCACCTTCATCCAAGAGGCTTCATCAGTTCTGACTGACTAGTTGGGACTTCCAGATACTTATATCCTTAAGGAGCAATTAACACCTGAGTTTAGTTTCAGTTGGAGGTTTGTTGCTCCTCCTCCTCGTTATGTGAGTCTGAAACTGAAACTCAGGTGTTAATGTCTCCTTAAGGATATCTGGAACTCCCAACTAGTCAGTCAGAACTGATGAAGCCTCTTGGATGAGAGGTGGAACGTCTTCAAGGAACTCAAGCAAGTCCAGCTGCTACGATTAACCTACGAGAACAACCATGTGAGAATCTTCACCGACTTGTTGCGGAGCAGTTCACCACGTTATCGAGACTACAACCCTCCTGCTGACTGACAGTTAGCTGAATCATTTCTTTTCCTGTTTTACTAGTTTCCCGGAGCTTATTCCCACAAAGTTGGACCCAACATGAGCCTCAGTTACCAGAATAAAGAGCTGGTCGGTGCCAAAGAGCGACCGTTTGAACCCAATCCTTTGCACAACGCCAAGCAGAGAGCACACAACCGCCACGCTGCCAAAATAACACAAGAGCTTCGACTGTGACCTGGCTGAGTGTGACTTGAATCCAGTACAACACCTCTGGGATGTTGTAAATACAAAGCTGGAGCAACACAATCCCTCCAGCAAAGAACAACACTCTCTCCAGAAACTTGTGGACTCGGGTATCGTCCATGCCAGCGAAGAGTCTGTCGGGAGAAATAAAAGTAGACGAAACACTTGGATCTCTGTAATGACTGACAGACGCTCCTTCGCTGGGGCCTGTAGCTTTATTCTAGTAAATCTAAACTGCTCATTTTTGATTTCACAAAGGAGCAACGACTCGACAGTTCAACCTAGAAGTAATCTGATTACTGAAAGGTGACGCTGTAATGAGATCGCACATTAACATCGTCGTATCCTGCACCTCAAAACGCCTAAACACAGTCTTACTGAACCATTTGCACGACTGCAGATTCTTCTTATTGTACAATTTGGGTGATAAATTAGTGCCAGAGGCAGTTTTGTCTGAACACGACTCTGAACATCCAAAAGATAAAATAAGAGCATTGTGCACCAACCTTTTGTACCCTTTATTTCATCCGGACACACAAATCTTTGTGTTTTTTTACATGCAGAAGCTTCAGGAAGAGAGACTCCTTTTCACTGCATGAGGATTCGCTCGTCTCTTCTTTTTTTGTGTGTGTGTTTGTGTGTGTGTGTCCTGCTCTCACAGGTGCCTCCCTTCTCAAATACAAAGACACAATACAGATTTGGGATGCCACGTCGCGTCTCTCTCTGTGCATCAATGACATCAGTCGGATGAAGCGAAGGCAGCGCTCGGCTCCGACTGTAACCTCAGCAAGAGCCATAAAACCAAATTACCTTCCTCAGGCTATAAAATGACAATCATATGGTTGATGCAGCAAAATTGCAAAGGATCTCAGAGTCTCTCCACCATCCAAGGAGAAGATAATTAAAGGCCAGGCCAAACGAACCGAATATTCCCTAATAAAACAGCATGGCGCTGGCAGAAAGTAACAGGGAGACGAGTCGACTGTCTGGATTCTATCATCTCCTCTGATTAAAGACAGAGCTGCATTTTTCGGCGGTGAATCAGTGGGAGAAAGTTTGTCATCTTCACTTAATTAGTCATTTGCACTTTCTGTAAGAACCTCTGGTCAATTTCCAGTCATTGTTGTCACGGCGCTGCGTGGGCGTAACGTCAGAGTCTGTCTGAACCTGCAATTACTGCGGATTTTCAGTTTCTATTAGCGGAGAGTCGACATAATCCGTTACAGAACGGCTGGCTTTCACCAAATTGAAAGTACCAGCGCAGACAATGATGCGTCTGACAGATCGAGTTAAGAGGAGCCAATTAAGAATTATTTTGTTTATTTTGGGCTTAGCTGCAGTTCGTGCGTCTGTCTCGCTCATGTCAGAGAAGTCAGACGCTGACTTTTCTGTGTAATATTCTGGCAGGGTTTGAGATGAAAACATTCTGGATCACGACGCCTCCCGGTTCCTCACCTGCCCTCCTCGCGCTCCAGCAGCCGCCGGTAGGTGGCGATCTCGCGCTCCAGCCTCATCTTGGTGTTGAGCAGCTGGCTGTGGCGCTGGCGCTGCGTGGCCAGGCCGCTCCTCACCTGCTCCAGCTCGCCCTCCAGCCCGGCGATCACCTGCGAGAGGTCCTGCAGCTGGCTGGAGTACAGCCGCTGGGTGTTCTGCAGCGAGCTCTCCAGGCCTTTCTCCTGCACAGCGGTTATATGGATTATATATATAATGACGCAGGATTACGGATTATGACTGGTCAGGTATTTTGCTGCTTCTAAAGAGCTTAAAGTCTGCTTTTTGGGTTTTGTAGACGGGATAGTCCATCGCGAATCATAAGGGGACATCTGCTCAGTTTGCCTGAAACTTTTTAATAACAAACTACGGATATTTACAATGATGTGTGTAAAATTGTAGCATCATATATCAAACACTCTTTGAGATTTTAAAAACTGCCAGTCACTTTCAGCGCATTTTTTTGCATGTTGAAACATATCAGGAACTATTGGAGGTAAAACTCAGAATCTAGACAAATACATCCCTAACTATGGGTGAGTCCAAATGTGAAAAAAACTATTTGCTCATGAAAAGTTCCATCTTTGAGCTCATTTTAACAAAAAAAAAGATAATGCAGAAGTCAGCAAGTGATGTTTTCTGAACCACATGTGGCTGCATGGTACATTAATACAAACTAAACATATAGAATACTTTTTAATATGAAATACTTGAGCACAAAAATGAAAAAAAAAATATATATATATAAGGCATGACAAGTTGGACCACACAAACAAAAAAGATGACCAGATACCCTGATCCAACAGAGAACAGGGTTTTGGGTTTTGAAAATGACTCTCAAAATATAACTAAGAATAATACATAAAATAGATATAGCAATTTACAAGGAGGTGTTGCTATTAATGTGCAAAACTAAATGCAAAATGTGCACATGAACATGTATTGCCACCTGTTAATGTTAGAAGGCAGCAGTGCTTTAGTATGTGAGATTGTATTTTATTATAAATCACATTATTCATTGTAACAGACAGTACTGGAGTTCTTCATTATTCAAAAGGTATCAGGGGAGAATGAGGAAGTAGGAACCACAGATTGTAGATAAAAGGTGAATGCAGTCTCTTGATCTGAACAGTGAAGCCACTGTGGAAGTGACTTAAACCTGCATTCTTCCTAACAGCCAGCAGGGGGCGACTCCTGGTTGCAAAAACTGGTCAGATTGCACTGAAGTCCATGAGAACCCACTTCTGACTTGATTTGCTACCTCAGTCGACATTTTACCACTAAGTTTATGATTTCTATCGCTAGTTTGAAGCATCCTTCAACACAACGTGGTGCTAACTTAGTATAATTATGGTCCCATGTCAAGCAAAATAAACGATAAAGCAGCGTAGTTTTCAATCAGATCCAACCCTCCCTCACCAAATCTGGTGTTTGAAAAAGCCCATGATGGTGCTGGGGAACTTGAGGCTTTAAAATGGTAAGTAAAATAAATAAATAAATAAATAAAAAGTGGCGTCACATCAGTGACATTTACAAGAGGAGCAAGAGGCCCAGTAAATCTAGCATTCGCTAACAAGCTAACTCTGCTAACGAGCTAAATATCAACAATTTTCCTCTGAAACTGCCAACATCAATTAGGTGTACATGATGTAGACTAACAACTGCAGTCCTACCGCACAATAACTGTTGTAATGAATAAATAAAGCAAATATTTCTGTTTTTTTCTCGCTTGTCGTCTCTCGACACTGTTTTCATTCAGCAGTAAATACCGAGTCACTGGATAAGTAGGAAAGAGCAGCTTCCTAGAAGGTAAAAGGCCGTCCTGTTCTTTGGAAAACGGCTTTCAGGAATGTAAAGTATATTTATTTTGTACTTTAGGAGGTAAACACCACCAATATCCCACCATATGCAGTGTATGTTAAATGTGCTGCTGGCATGTGTGTCTTTTCTTTCTTATCACTTACAAAAAGTCAACACATGCAAGCGGCCACTTGCCCTGGAAAGAAGAAGTGTTATCAGCGTGATAAGTGCTGACAGGTGAAGTGTGTGTTCTTACCAAAGCGTGCAGGGTCTCGATCTCCACCTGCAGCGAGTGCCACTGCTTCCTGGCCTCGGCCAGTTCGGCCCGAGCCTCCCTCAGGGCGGCGCCGCCGAGGCTCACCTGGGCCCAGGCTGCCTCCTCCTGCACACAGGAAGACCGAGAAGGCTTTGAATCTACACAAAGGCGCCACTGCCTTCCTCTAGGACACCCCAAGATGTTTTAAAGGTTCCACATTGTCCCACTTTTCAGCAAATCATTCAGCTCAAAATACTACAAAGATGGTTAATTGCACTGTCACTGTGTAACTCCTGGTTTCACTTCTGTTCTAAACGAGGTGTTTCAGTGTCTGTAGCTTTAGATGCTGCTAACTCCGCCCCCTTCAGGAAGAAGACTCTCTGCATCTGGGACTAAACATTTGACCTCACAGCATCTTCGAGCATCATTTGACATGAAAATACATCACAGCAAAGTCGTCGTTTTTAACTCATATGTTTATTGGATAATGTCGCCGTTATAAAACCAACATTTTAGCTTCAGAGCAGCAGCTTGGACATGAACTGATGCTGCTGTCATGTAGTTTTAAAGGGTTGGGTTTCAGTTCTGGTGTCTGACAACAGAAACTGAAGAATCTGCAAATGAGAACAGCTTCATTTAGAATTCAGCTGTCTTAAAATGTAGTTTATATGAGCTCAGAGATCAGCAGAGAAGCTAGCAGATCTTTCAGTGAGATTGCACATTAATATTGTCATATCAGAACGCTGCAGGCTCTAAATACAGTCGTACTGAACCATTTGCACGACTGTACATTGTTCTCATTGTATCATTTAGGTAATAAATTAGCGCCGGAGGCAGTTTCTGTGTGTCTGAACACGACTCTGATCGTTTAAAAGATAAAATCAGAGCATTGTGCAGCGACCTTTCAGAATCATCTTTTGTACCTTGTACTTCATGCAGACACACAAATCTCAGAAGCCTTTGTGTTTTAACATGCAGACGCTTCAGCAAGAAAGACAGAGTTTATGTTGAACTGAAGCCCAACAGAAGAAATGAAAACACACCCAGTCCTTGTTTTTAGGTTAAAATCAATCATCAATCCATTTTCTGCTGAGCTCTGACTTGTGAGCATCAAGGCTAACAGTAACATTAGCCACATTAGCTAGAGAGCGTGCGAACACACTATTTCCTTATTGCTGTGGTGACATTTCCACCCAAAACAAAAGAAACCATTGATAACCTCAGATGCTGGAAGTGCATGAAGACTCTTGCGTTCACTCTTGCAGCAAACATTTGTTGAGTTTTGATCGTGGCTGAGACTTTTTTGAGCAGAAGCAGCCGTAGGAAGTTCATAACCCTGATGGGTATCTGTTCATTCCACCAGCGGCTCAGTTTCCACCCAAACACTGCATCAAGTTCCCACCGGTTTGTAACGGCTGTCTAGCTGTGGGAGGGCTTCAGGAATCATCTTCATGTTCTCACAGCTTTTATTTCACTGCTCCAGGTTTTAAAGAACACAATAAAAATGAACAGCAGTTGACAGTATGCCGTGAATCCTCGGATGCTGCATAAAACAACAAAACCAGGCTTGCACAACCGCCTCACGCGATGACACACACACCTCCAGTGTTTTCTCCCACTGCAGCAGCTACAGGTGGAGCTGTGGGCAGTTTAGGCAAACAGAGACACCCAGACCTGGCTGTATATTCAGCTGTACAAGCTGTGCCGACGCACCGTACAGCTGTTGGGGAGCTTCACGCCCTCCGTCCTCGCCTCCCTTCAAACGCAGTGAAGCGGCGAAGCTGTCTCAGCACAGTTATGACAATATTTTGACAGTTAAAAACAAAAGAAGTTACGCAAGTTATTTTCGGTTTAAGTCAAAAGTCAGATGGCTCTCCTTATCCGCGAAGAAATCTTTAATTAAGAGGAGAAACGTAAAAACATTTAGGTCGAGATTGTATCTCGTCAGCAGATCGGAGCCGATAACAACGAGTTCCCTGGTCGAGCGCGATTCCTCGAGATGCCGAAGACAAGAGAGTTAATGTTCCATCTGTTATCTCAGGCAGAGGAGGTATTTGGAGTCATTACTTTATGTAAAAATACAGACATACTGCCAGTAAAATCTGATTTATGACTGGATTATTATTATGTGGAGGATTTATGTGTGGTGCAGCTTGTTGAAGTTTTTCATTGACAGTGAAGTGATTTAATGTAAAACCTCCTAACAGAGACAAAGACACCTTTTTCCTCAATATTTTAACTCCAGATGTTCTCATCTTAGTCTCTGAATGTTTATTTTTAATTATTATTATGCTATTACCTTTGCCTTTTTATATGTTTAGATATTTTATTTGTATTGTAGTTTATTTTTCTCATTTTAAGGATAAATTATGATAAATTCCATAAAATATGAGGTTTATTTTTTACTAAAAATATTTTTTTAAAGTACAAAATGTTATGAAATAGCAAAAAACTAATCTTTAATTCAGAATCAGTGAATATAAAAGTGTTATTTCTTGTGTCTGATCCTAAATCAGCTGCTGCAAGAGAAGCTGCAGGTGACCATTATTCCATCTTGGATTTGGTTTTCTGTTTTGGTGAGGCCGAGTTGTTTTGCTGCTCAGATTTTACTCCAGTGTGAATGCAGATCTATCTGATGGCTTTAATGAATCCTCGGACCCTGTTTTATTGTCTTTCTGTACCAGTGGGTATGAGAACGTGTTAATGCGGTGGAATTAAACGGCTCCAGTGTGCTTGGTATGGCTTGGCCCGCTGCCTGCATGTGTGTCTAATCGATGGCTAATCGATGTCTACTCAGCGCCTATACGCTCACCTACATGTAAGACGACTCCCCAGGCGTAGCTCATTTTGCAGTGAGGTAAAATCCAGCATGGACTGAAACGTTTGCACTCTTTTTGCACGTTTTCCTCGCAGGCTCTAGCGGCTCGTACCGCATCAAAGAGGCGTTATTGTTCCGCGAGCGAGTCCTCCTTAGAAATACAGGAAAGTGCAAACAAAGGCAGGAAAGAGGATGTCTAAAAGTTAGCAAACCTGGATGAAATATTCAGGATCTGAAACCATTTTTAACAGCTTTGCAAATGTTAAAAGGGCTGAAATGCATAGCTGGTGCTTTTGTAATTCCATCTATAAACAAAACTCGAGCTTGTTTGCAAGAAAACTCCACGTGGCACCTTTAACGGTTTGAAAAAAGATTTTATCTTTAAAAAAATCAGAGTCAGAAACTGTAAAAACAGAAAAAAAAATCTGTGGATATTCAGCTTTTTACCTAAACATATCATGTGTGATGTGGGATTTAACTTGAAAAAACATCTAGGCTTAAATTGTGATATTTAACCAAACTCAGTTAAAAATTCCCTGAAAATGAAACGTGTGCATGAAACAGATTTGGTAGAAAAAACAAAAAAATTCTCGACTCCGCTGCAACAAACAGTCATGTGATGAAAGTCGAAGAGCTTTTCAGCTGAACCGCAGGCAGTGTTTACACAGAGCAGAGAGGAAACGAGCATGGAAACAAATAAAAGCATGTAAACAGTGAAATATCTGGAGTATGTGCAGTCACCGCCTTTTTTCCAGTAACATGTGTGCAGCTGGAAAAACATGTTAATTCCATAAATTCCACTTTGATATTTCCTTTTACATAATTTCGGGTCATGTTGCACAGAAGCATTTCGTTCCTTCTCCATTGTTGTGCCGTTTCCACAGAGCTGCAGGACTTCATGTTGCAGTGAAAAATGAGCCGACAGTGAGTGAAAAATGTGACACAAGCAAAAACAAAATGCCCAGAAGCCTCTTGGGGATCAAGGGGTTAAAGCCTAAAAGGATGATGGATGTGACGGATTTTGGTGCAAGCATGAGGCTTTTGACTGTGACTCAAGAGTAAACAAAGCAGCTCCTCTCAGTGAGATGATTTTCTGACATCATCACATCCAGCTCATTGCATGTTTCTTTCCCCTGGTTGACAACAGTGCAGCATCTTCCCAGGCTGATAGCAACCCTGATTACTATGGACATCATGCAGGCGTCTGACTGCAGCATTATTGTGTAACTGTTACTTTAGTGGGACAGACACTGATCTAACACTGTGGGAGCTCACAGCCTCTTGGCGAAGGCACTTTATTGTCGCCGTCAGACCAAAGTCATTGTGCTGTGGCTACAGGAGCACTGGAATAATGATAAAAACGCAACCCCAGACTGAAAAAGGCTAAAGCAGCAGCAGCAGCAGGAGCACAAAGCAAATCTGTTATCACCAGATGAAGATGCTTAGGTTGTAATTTGGGATCATTTGCACAGACCAGCAATTAACTGTGTGTTGAAAAAGCAGCGAATCTGACATCATCCAGAGAAAGCAGCAGCCTGCAGCCACAGTCAACAAACTGAGCATTTAACTTCACTGGAGCACATCATTCAGCCTGTGGGACAGCCCCGAGTTGGTCCTGAGGGTGTGTCTGGCTGGCACAGATCCAGGACAACATGCACAGAAAATAAAAGTGAAGCTGCAGGAGTGGATGCGTACCTCGCTGAGAGCTCCTCTGTGCGTCCTGGATGCTGCTCCGGCTCCGGCTCGGCCAGGCCCGACCGAGCCGGAGGCTGGATTTGAGACGGCGCCCAGGCCGAGGTGTCTCTCGCCGGGGGCCGGGAGTCTGCTCTGGTCGCACTGCGCTCTGATTCGGTCGAGGAGCTGGGTGAGCTCCATCCCTGTGCCATCCTCCTCCTCCCCTCTTCCTCCTGCTGCTGCTGCTGCTGCTGCTGCTGCCGTCGCTAACCGAGCATCGCAGGAACCGGCCCGCTGCAGGTGCAGAGCCCGGGCTGCCTGCAACCAGCCAACCAGAGGGAGGACGAGGGGGAGGGAGGGAGGGGAGAGAGAGAACGGGGGAGAGAGAGAGAGAGAGAGTGAAGGATAGCAAGAAATACAAGAGAATAACAAGAGATGAGCCAAATATAGTCTGTGAATCAGAAGGTGAATAAATGTAGAGGACAAAAGCAGGACAAGAGAACAGAGCGAGTGTTTCTGTGTTTAAAGGAGGCGGCTGGACCACGCAATGCAGTGGCAGGACAAGAAGCAGAAGCCCAACATGTGTGCATACATGTGTAGCATCTCTGGAAGTGAAGGAGGGGGGTATTAGTCAGCAGGAAAATGAAGAGGAGGGGTGGATGAGGTCAGAGTGAAGGGACAAGAGGAATCAGAAGATGAGGCTCTCACATGGATGTGCAAACACACCCTGTTATTACAGGATGATTATGTCGAGGTTGAAGCAGGTCACAAACAATTTATCTGTCATGATTACAATGGTAATAGCTATTCCCATAATTATACACAATCGTCTGCTCTTGCATTTTAAAGCCACTTAGCTCAGATCAGGGTCATGCAGCGTTCATGAGAGAGGCTTCTTTACAACACAGGATATGGGTTTTATGGCCACAACAGCAGCTGCGTAGCGCACATGTGGTAGCATGCTAGCATTTGCTATTCATCAGTTACAACAAAATACAGTGCAGACTGATAGGAGTGTTGTTATATGTTAAAATATCGACACGACGACGA